GACAACACACCTCTTGGAGCTCTAACTCACCTCTCTAGTATTATTTTTGTACTCATCTGATTAATGTAGTTCTTGCCGATTCTTCTTGAGCTTCTTGTTTAAATTTCCAGTCTGTATTTTAAATTCATGATACCTTGACATTAACTATGCCTTGATTATTGCATGAAGCCATTTCTTTACTTATAATAATTTTTTTATATATTAAAAAGTATATTATCTTGATAAAATGATCTCCTATCATGAATATAAAATCATAAAAACTTGAGATTAATACGTTATCATACTTTGTCTTTTAAAATTTATAATTATCTTTTAAAATAAATTAGATTATTCTTAAATTTAAACTTAAAAGTATTATGAGACTTAGAAGAATTATTCTTTATATTATAAATAAGACAATCAAAGGACATGTTCAATTGAATTTACCTAAGAAAGGTTGAATTAATAGTCAATGTTGATTTTATTATTAAAAGGTGAAAATGCTTTGCTTCAAGTTCTTAACCAAGTTCTCATCAAGGTACTTCTTTAATACAATCAACTCATGCTACAATAAGCTGTAGATTGGTCCAAATGATTATTGAGCTTTTTTTTGAAGATCCATTGAATAATCATAAGATCAATGATCTAGAAGAATATGTGTGTTTTTTTTTTTTTTTCAAAAACATATTAAAAATCTTGATACTAGCTAGGAATACTACTTGATATCGTTCTACCATTAGAAATAGGCATAGCATATATAACAAAAGATAATCCTTGTTTCGCAGAATACATGAAAGTTCTTACACTTATCAATAAAGATTTGGATATATTAAATTTATATATTTTTAATTTATTAACATGATTTTGGATTAAACTACCAAAAAAATTAAAATTAAAAAAAATCTAATTTATTTTAATATTATATTTTTCTAACCAAAATAATCCTTAAATAGCTAGATTGAAGGGAGATCTTATTATATTAAATATTACTATTATATTATGATCTTTAATTGCTACTTCTAAAGAAAAAGTATCATAGGCAATATCTTTAGAAGACAACAAATGACTACCTATGACTTCTACATGTATAGGTTTAGTTTTCTTAACTAAAAATATTTTTTATTTTTTGATAAAGTCTTTGTTTATAAAATAAGTTGAGGCTCTTGAATCTAAAAATGTGTGACTTTGTAATTTTTAGGTTTTAAATACACATCTATTATAAAATAAGGTGAAGAATCTAAAGAGAAAATATGACCTTTATGAAGTGTTGCATATGATTCCAACCTCACAATCCCTTTTGTAACTTGAGAAACTAGTCTTTTGACATGTTATATTTTTGGCAATTGTGTTCTCCATTTTATAATTATATTTCTTCTTTACATAATGTTGAGTAGTGTGCTTAGCTTTTTTATAATATAAGGACAAATCCTTTGTCTAAGATTTTATTAGAGTTTGTCTACAATTTTTTTAAGGTTTGATTAGGATTGAATTAGGATTTACTTAGATTTTTTTTATATTTCTTTAATAATTTATTTAAATATTAAATTTGACTTGATCAATATTTAATTATGTTTGTTAAGCTTTAAATATAATTTATATATAATTCTATTAGAGTTGTTAGTACTTATTATTGCAATTTTTTTTTTACCTTTCTACAACTAAGTGCCCGACACATTCTCAAGTAAGACTTCACATAATATAATAACATGCCAGTTTATATAAATGGATATCTAAGACCAAAGCAACAATGATTAAGGATAATTCAATAATGATTAGATTGAAGGCTTAACTTGTAACATGAGGACTTGAACAATACAAAAGTATTGATTATAATAATATATTTGTACTTATAGTAAGGTGATTTATATTAATTATAATTATTATACTTATTATCTAAGAAGATTAGAACATTAATCACATGAATGCAGTCACTACATTCTTTAACAAAACACTTGAGGAATTAATATACATGTAGCAACCAACTAGATTTTTGGAACAAAGATTAGAATACCTTTTGTACAAATTATTTAGATCTATTTATAAATTAAAGAAATCACCCTATACATAGTACTAATAAATTGATATATAACTTTGGAATATTGGTTAGATTCATGGTCAATTAGATCCTAATTTCTACTATTTTATTGAAGGTGCTTCTATTTTAATCTTTTTTATCTATACAAATGATGTTTTTATTATTAGAAATGATAATAAATATATTACCAAAATCAAACTACAACTATAAGATAAGTATGATATGAAAGACATAGGAAAAATTAAAAAATATTTAAGAATTAAATTTGGATAAGTGCTTAATGGGATGATTTTTTTATTAGCATTTTTACTCCTAAGAAATATTGGATGAATTTGATATAATAAATTTCTTACTTTAATACAATCTTTTATTAAAAGAATTCATCACTCACTTCAATATAGGTAAGTCACCAATTAATACTACTCAATACTATTAGATGATTAATAAGATTAGTTAGTCCATCAAATATCTTTCCATGGATTTAGGATTTTGATAAAGATTCTATAATATTCTTTATGTTCTCCCATTACTGTTCTTATTTATATCACAATTTTTTTGAATCTTTCTTGTAAAAAGCTTCATTCGTATATATGAATATATCTATATATTAAGATTGCTTAAAGAGACAAGTAGTGGCTCCGATTTACTCCATGGATGGGTCTCTATTTTTATCAAAAAAGTTCACATTTTGTGGAGTTTACAATCCGTTTCACAATTGATTGGAGAGTTCTACATGATGTTTTATAGGGCATTTTTTTACCTTCCTTTGTATTGATGGCAAAGCCATTCTACTCACATTCCTTAGTTTTATTATATAATAATCAAGTCTTTATTTTAATGATTGAATTGCAATGAATGAAGCAAAGGAAATTGGTATTGATGGCAAAGGTCTATTGTTGCACTAATGGCAAAGTTCATAAGGAAATGTTGGATGTTTCATTATTAGATTAGTATGAACAATCATTGTGGTTGATATGCATTGTTTGTGTTTTTTTTCTTACTACTAGATTTCAAAGTAAATGGGTAGCTTCTCTTTGATAGGTAACTCTAGGTATAGAAGAGAAATCACCATGCATTATCTTGTCAATGCCATCTTGTCCACTTTCGCTCCCATAGTAGAAATTTGGACCACATTTTTCTTAATAAGTTGCATCCACATTTGATTCTCTCTTTCTCTTGATTTCTCTGATATTTTTTTGATTTTTGTGATCAAATGTATTCACTAGAAATCAAGTGGTTTACAAGGTATTAACTCCTTTAGGTCTCAGAGTACATAATTCCTCTTTGATGTAGGCAAAGTGAAAATCAAGTCATATAACTTTTTATGTTAATTAACTTATATGGAAAGTACAAAGTTAAAAAGGCATTTCAAGACATCGTATACTTGCATATTATCTTCATGTATTCATTTTAATCACTAACTGATTAGATATAAGCATCAAGGCAAAATTCATAAGTTTCAAGCTTAATTATTGAAGTTATAATTTTTTTGTGTGAACATTTAATTTGTAAGTTCTAAGTCTATAAGATATTTTATAATTGATCATAGGATAATTATAGGAGGTTCATAGAATTCATAAGATGTTTTAAATTGGAGTGGCAAGAAGGACATGCATTCTAGTGAATTGGTGTTTTTTTAACTATTTGGCCTTAATTCAAATGGCCAAGTCTTTCTTTAAGACTAGATCCTAAATCTCTCTTCCATCCTTTTCTCTCTCTCTTTCTTTCTTTCTCTTTCTTATAGTTTGGTGTTTGAGATCTTAAAATTCTTTAAATAATTATTTGATGCTGATGACCATGTTTTTGTATGTAATTTAATTTTGGTACAATTGCATCAATTAGAGCATTACTTATTAAGATTGATATTGTAGATTTAGGCTCAGAAAATAGATAGTAAAGAATTTAGGGATTAGGGTATTGGTTTTGATGATTCTTCCTATGAAATGCTAGATACTCTCGGAAACAAATAACAAAACAAGGAAATAATATTGAAGAAGTGAGACGCATATATGTGTCTGAAAGGAGGAGTCGGAAAAAGCTATGGTGCATAAGGGTGTCAACAAGGCATAACATGAGGGAAAAGGTTGTAGACCTCCTCTGATACTTTCTACTTGGTTTTTTACACCTCAACAACATAGAAACTTGCTTACAATAGCATTATACTATGTTATAAAAGCTTTTATAATATAATCTAATTAAGTCTACAATGATTCTACTTGAAGAGCTTTAAGGATGTTCTTAGGCAATTTGAAGGATAACTTGGAAATTTGGAAGTTTTATTTTTTTTATTTTTTTATTTTAAAATATTATTACAAAATAGTACATAATAGTTATAAGAATATTGTTATTATCTTTGTGAGATTGATATGGAGAAACTGTCCTATATATTTATATTATTAGAAGTAAAATGATAATAATAATAATAATAATAATAATAAGAAAATAATATCAAAAAAATGTAAAAACAAGTCGTAATATTTAAGCATCTTTTTTTAAAATAAATATGCAAGAAGCTACTATAACACATATTTGATATATTAGAGTTTTTGGATATGTTCTAGGGCCATAAGAACTTCTTTTAGATACACTTCTGCATTTTAGAAGCAACTAAAGCAGCCCATAATTTAGACACTTCACCTCAAGGTTCATGGTTTCTAAAAACCTTCTTCATGATCATCCTCTTAATTGGTATAGATAAGGAGTAAGACTTTGGTCATTTCTGATCTTATTAATGTCATCCTTGGTTTAAGATTAATCTTAGTTTAATATTCTTAAGTTACTTTGTATTTGTACTTAGTAATGATAATGATTATACTTTTTTTTTCGTGTAAAAAAAATCATATGATAGGTATGTACATACACATTCCGCGGCCAATGACACAGGTTTCCACAAGTATATATACATACACAATAAATGTATGTATCAAAGACGACTGATTTCAAAATACTACAGATGCATCATGTTCGGCAATAGAAAGCTGTCATATCAATAGAAAATGCAAAAAAAGAAAATTCAATGCACCGGCATGAGAAAAGTCACGTATTGGCCTTCGGCAAACTAGTCTCAGAAAATTCTCCTAGTTAAGAGACACAGAACAAATTCGAAGTCCCAGAGCAAAATTACATGCTGCAGCAACTTTCTAAAACTGTCAGAGACGCAGGAACCTTGTTGCACATCTAGTCTAAGTATTGCAGGAACCTTACACGGAGCATTCCGTATTTTACAGACTGGTTTGGCTCACGTTACAAACCAGCGTAGATAATCTGAAAGGAAGACATGGGGGGATCGGTTCTAGAACCTCGTCGGAAGAAGAGAAGGTTGAGGATGAGGAGAATCTTCAGCCATGTATGGGCTTAATATCTGTTGTGCCTGAATCACAAGATGTGGGCCTTGCACTTGCAGAGCTCTCCGATCCACAGACAGGGATTCCAGGGCTAATTTAGAGCAGAGGTTTCCTCATCGCCCAACTACTCTTCTTCAAAGGTGACTTGCCCACCAGCATTTTTTTCTCCAGATCATGTGCAGTTTCTAATTCAGGAATGTCCGCCTCGTCCACGATAGCGCTGTTACCCCCGTTGGATCCATTAGCAGATCCTTGGCTTCCTAATCCGGCGGGTCTCTTTGAACCGGTTTCGACTGGGTCTTCGGACGTATTCTTCTTTCCTTCCACAGCGGTGAGGTTGAAGGGTATTTTATCACCTGACCCAACTTCGTCAATCCTTTGTTTAGGCCAAAATTCTGCCGTCTTCCCTGCACTCAGAACTTGATCCAGGACGACTTGGGGTTTCACTTTACCAATGACGGTCACCTTGGAATTCTCCCTGTCCACATGAAAGGATTTCACACCTGCAGGCACGATGATACACGCAGGAAGGTGGCCGGAGGAATCAACGAAGTAAGAATGAACACATTTCGCGGCAGCATGACTAATCATACCCGTTACAGGTAGTTCGAACAATTATTTCAAAGCTGATCGAAACTAACAATCCAGCTTACCCTCCAAACGTCGAATGTATCGTTTCACTTTTGTGACGCACCCATCACAATGCAGAAGCACTTTAAGCACTGTGGTCTGCAGGTTACGAAACGGCACGTTCTGTGTAAGAGCTCAATACTGCGACCGTCGGGGCATTAGAAACACAGTTTGTAAATCTCGGCGAGTCAAATTGATAGGTGGATCGTACCTCAGACATGTTTAATCTCGATGTGTAGCAAAAGTCAGATTATGGCGGTCCGATTTCAAAAATAATATAAAATAAAAATAAAAATAACCAACAAATAAACAGACGCGTAAAATCGCAAAAAAAATAATCTTTCAAAAAACGAGTGACGCTAGGGGAGTACTTGAGTCACTGGTAAAAGAGGAGAGCTCTACTCATGCAGGGATGTTCAGCTAATCTATAGTTTTCGAAATCTCGTAGTTTTTGCGTTTAAAACTTCCCACAAACCAAGGATAATAAAATGTTTCGGGAAATCCTATTACAATTGCATGATACCCTATCGCAGCAAGCAAAGAGTTTGAAGTAGGGTTCACAACTGAAGACCTACGTGCAGATGCAATCGCAATCTTGCACTAACCCTCAATTTATGCAGCTCATCAAAACAGAGTACCATCTAGCTCCAGAGTCTAGTAGCCAAGGATCGTTCAGAAGCAACCGAATAAGTACGGAAAACCCATCCGACGGATACAAATAACTCGGTTCTTGAGCACGTAGGTGCTCAGGTAGGCGAGTGAGGAAATAATATGAAGTGCAGACGAGGTTATTCCCCTGAGGATTCAAGCATCAACGGAACATGAACAGAAGAGAATGCTGCAATGCAAACGGCGGAAATCAATTCTTCTCATCTTACCTCCAGGGCATTTGAACTTATTTAATTACAGTGTACCTACAGTTTGCCCATTGTGGTGTCAAATGCGCACAGAAAATTTCTTTTCCTGGGCTTGTCTTGTAAATGGGCAACCAAAGGGCACACCTAACGTGGTTGCCAAACCCATAGTTAACCACAACTATCCAAAAAAAACGTGTATAGAATCTGAGAAAGCACTCTAGTGAGAACGTTTCTGGCCAAGTCGCCGGGCGACCAATAATATTCTCTAAATAAGTGACAGATTGTCAACGCAGAAATTCTAGACAACACGATCCAAGCTAATTATTCCTGCGGAACGTCATGACCAGCGTAAAACTTGTGCCTCCGATGCCTATGCTTGCAGTCTTGAATGTGCCCAACGGCTCAATCCAATCTCAAACCACTTTACAGCTGGGAGATGAGCTCACAGTCTATTTCTGTGCAACAGTGTCCCACATTTGTGCCGGCCTGGACTCCATGGGGAGTTCCAATTCCAGCAGTCGGATGAACAACACAACAAGGGTTGAATGTGAGTATTTTAACGCACAGATTCGAGACCCACAACATCAGTGCTGCCGTTGTGGCCCAGATATTCTACGTCTCATGCAACGGCACTATTTTTGCATCCTACAAACAGTGTGATGCTTAAATAGTAACTAGCTGTTAACAGAATCATGTGATTTTGCAAATTTTTCTCCTCTCTGGTTGCAGAATTTGTACGTTTTTCTATTTTTTTTTATTTATAAATTATTATATGTCTTCTTCAGAACAAACAGTAGAATTCTGTTGCTGAGATATGCTGAACAATGTACAGCAAGCATCGATGTTACCCAGTTTTAGAGCTTCGTTATTTTTATATATATTCTAGAATTAGAGAATGATACAAGTAAAATCCCAAGTTTTATCAAACGAATATTTTTTTAAATGATTTTTAAATTATCTGTTTATTCATTTATTTTTATCTGAGTCTTGATGATTGGAAACATTGCATTAGTGTAATCTATCACAACTTTTTATTCATTTAAGACACTAATTTTTCATTAGGTTATTTAGTTTTACTAAATGTGGAATATTTATTTTTCTACTATGTTCTTCATAAAATAAAGTTATACTTTGCTAGATAATTAAATCTTTTTAAATTTTTTAGAAAGAACTTAGAAAAACAAACAACCTCTATAATTAAGTATGATTTATATAGTGTCTTATAGTCTCATTTTGAATATGTTAAATAATACAATAGCAAAGTGTTATGCTTGTTAGATATAGAAACAAACCTTAATATATGATTTAAAACTTTAAATAAAGTTTAAACATACTGAGAAAGAATTACTCATGTAAGAAATGAATTAATATTGCTAGTTGTTCATTGCTACTACTTGGTGCAAAATATATTAGAAGAATTCTATTTTTTTACAAATATATTTTAAGCCATACATTTTGATATGTTTAAATTTGATAGTTTTAGAATTTTGATATGCCATCATAAAATGATAATAAGTCAATACCAATATTTAAAGTGACAAAACTACAGTCAAATTATTGTAAATCATGTGAGAATCTTATTTATCTAACTTAACCATTAGAAATTAATAGCTAATGAAATGATTGCACCATAATAAAAATATATTATTAGTTTTTTATGATATGAATCTTCTTTGAAATATTTTTTTTACAAAAATACAAACAATCAATGCTATATCCTCATTAGTAATAATATTGCACACCTTCTTAGCCAAATTATAGTTAATACATATACATACATATAATATAACCTTTTAAATATGTCTAGTGTTATAAGACTTTTAATATAGAATTAATTTATTAATCATGATTTAGTTCTTTTAGATATTAATTTCAAATAATATAATATATAAAATAAAGTAATTAAATAATTAATAATTATTTTTTAATAAAAAAAATCTTAAAAAATAAAATTAATTATGAAATCGACAAAAAAAGTTCTTGTTATAATAAATTCAATTCAAGCTTGATATCATTATTTATAAGGTTCTATTAATTCAAATTTAATTTATACTAATTAAAAGAGCATTGAATATTTCATGTTAGTATATATCTTTAATTGTTATTCAACTTGATAAAGCATGTTTTTGTTTCAACTTATTTTTCATATGATAAATTATCTTAGAAAATAATAAGTTTTAATAAATGGCTTATTTTAAAATTTCTATCTTGCACGAAAAGAAAAATATGTCACATATAATTAATAATAAATCACTTTTTTGAAATTAGAGCAATTTCATCTATGAGTTGTAAAGTCAACAATTTAACTTGATAATATTTTTTTAAAATAAAATATCCACTTCTAATAGTATTATCAAGAATTGAGAGTAACTTATAAGATTGTTGTACTATATACATTGTAACTTGCCATCTATTTGAAGAAGAACATATTACTCTTTAATTTCTTCATTTTAATTTTAATATTTTAAAGATTAATATAAGGTAAGTATTAGGGACAAGAACTTGATGAAAGTAAATAAAAAAGTATAACAAAATAGAAATAAAGAAGAATGTATGTTAAAAAAAAACTAGAATGGCTATTGCCAAAAGACAAGGAAACTAAAGACTCTTAAATCTAAACTAGAAGCAAGAAAAGAATTGACTGGAGTAAAGATGGCTTTATTCGTGCCTCTATATATACTATCTAATTAGTAGCTATATGGCAATGTTTTATAGGACCTCTAATATGTGTTGACTTTACAAGACACATGCCTTAGCTTACAAGGTAAATTTTCTATGTATATGCCATATAATTAACTTGTTCTTCAAGCTATCAACATGTGTGGTATATGGCTAACTTATTGACCACGTTTCTAATCTAAAAAGTCAATTATAGATACGTATAAAATCAAAGCAATGTCTATGAAGCTTTTAAGAAGTTTCTATAGAAGATATTATGGAATTAACCTACATTTATTTACTTTTATTTATTTCTATCTAAACATATAGGTAATTATTGGTTTACATGTGTATGTCTATGATATTATTTTCTCTTCTAACAACAAGTTCTATGAGGAGCGGTCATTATATATTGAAGAAATCCAAGATGCAACAAATTATATATGCTACATACTCTAATCTTTTTTCTCTTTGAAGATGGTTGATATAGCCTCTCAACCATCAATAGTATCTCATACCAGGGCAAAATAGCCATCCAATTATTTGATCATTGTTGATGACTTCATAACTTCTTTCAAATAAAATATTTGGAATACTGTCAAGAGTTGTTCCTATCTCTAGTAAAATCATCAAACATCGGGAGTCCTTTCTATAGTCATGATATCAAATGCGTTGTATCTCACCATCTATTCTAGGAAGAATATGTCATTCTTGAGGATCTTCATCTTGATTGCATCGTCTTAGAGGTTGTAACAATTGTAATGTTTTATTTGACAAGTCAACAAATGAAGGCTCTTGAATCAAATCCACTAGTTATTGGTTCTCTATCTCCTTAATATCACAAATACAAAGAAGTTACAATAAGAATAGAAAGTAGAATGTTATCTTGCCTAGATTTTTTTTTTTTTTTTTTTTTTTTTTTTTATTTTTATAGAAAATATCTTTATCTTGGTTTTGATGGATGTTATTGATGAAAAGCCTCTACCTTCTTTGCTGCATTTGCAAGATTCTTTGTTGGTTCCTATGTGCATTTACTAATATCATATTTATACCAATGAATAAGATATTCTAATCTATCTCGATGCCACCTTGAATCTAAGACCGCTTCTATTTCAAATTCTTCATTATTGTATACTTCTATAGAAGGAAGTGACACTTGTATTCTTTTTAATATGTTTATTATTTTATATAGTTTAAAAAGAGACAATTAGAATACAAGATAGATCTTTATTGATTCTAGTAGGTATAATCAATATGTAATTGAATTGATTTTTTTAAAAATAGAAAAAAGTCCAAGCTTATGATAGTCCAATTTGTCACAAGATATTATAACAAAGTAGCCATACTTTGTCACCCACATTGAATTATGGTTCTTTTTGATAGATATTTGTATTGATCTTTTGTTGCTCTTAAGCTTCCTTTAATTGGACCTTCATTATTGTATATAGCTTTAATAAAAAAATTGTCAAATCTTCTATTCCAAGATTATCAATTATTAAAAAATCAAAAGTATCAAGTCATAGATGATAACCATAATTAACAAAGAAAGGTGTTTATTGTATAAAAAAATGCACTATATTATTAAAAGCAAACTCTACCAATGACAAAATAATTTCTCAATTGTCTTGTTGATAATTGATTGTAGACCTTAAATATTGTTCCAAAACTTGGTTTACATACTTTATTTGTCTATCAGTTTGAGGATAAAAGGTCGAAGATGGTTTTATGTCTACTATTAGAATCTTAAAAAAGATTCTTTAAAAACTTGATGTAAATTAAGAGCTCCTATCCGATATAACATCCTTAGACAATCCATGATATTGATAGGTATTTTCAAAAAACAATTTGGCTATTTCTTCACTTGTAATAGATTTTATATATAATATAAAATATGCCATTTTGGTGAAGCAATCTAAAATTAAAAAAAAAAAAAGTCATATGAACTTGAACTTAGAAAATTGTCTCGAATCTAGAATACTAACTGGAAATCTAAATAAGAAGCTTAAGAAGAATCAGCAAGAATTAGATTAATTAGATGAGTACAAGAATAATACTAGAGAGGGAAGCTAGAATTTCAAGATGTGTATTGTCGAGACTGAGGATCTCCTCAGTCTCAGCTCTTATATATACTACGAGCTAGGAAGCTTCTCAAGTAGCTTCTACAACTTAGAAAGCTTCTCAAGCAACTTCCACGAGCTTGAAAACTTCTCAAGTAGCTTCTACAAACTACAAAGCTTCTCTAGAATCTTCTAGAATCTTCTATAACTTCCTAGTATATGTCCTTGACATCACCCGTGCTTTTAGCTTCGAGGTCTCCGACAAGCACTTCTATTGTGAGTCAGTACTAATGTAAGAAG